GGCTGTGCGCACCAACGACGGCAATCTCGTCGTCGACAGGTAACGCCGCCGTTAATTGCTGCACAAGCTTAACTTTACGTCTGCGGTTTGCAGGCAGAACCACACAGCGGCTCAGAGGTTCCCAAAGCTCAGCTGGGTCTCTGGACACCAGCTCCCCAGAGCCTCCAGCCGCTTCTCTTCGGGTCTGAGACTTACTGCACCCCAAAAAAGAGCTGGGGTGTGATGGAGGAGGAGGGATTCTTGCTGGGATGATGCAAGTCAGGGAAATGAAGTTTGGAGTCAGGAGGGTGTGAGCTTGCCCACGGTGAGAGAAGGGTGATGAAGGAGATGGACAGTGTGTGGTTTTCTTCTCTGGAAGTTAAGGCCTCGAATTTGCGGGGTTAACAACTGGATCTAAATGGGGATCCTGGGGCTGGTGGTTGTGAGTTCAGGATCCCTGGTTCAGTGGAGCCTGTGTGTGTTTTTCTCCTGCAGCGTGCAAGCTCCTTTCTCCTCCCACTGGAGAAAATCTCCAGACAAATCACAGAAAAGACCGAATGTAGCTCAGCCTCTCCGAAAGGCATTCGCTAATCGCCTCTTATAACGAGGGATACTCATCCAAGCCCAGCAGTAGAGACACCAGCTGGTGTCAAGTCACATCGTGGCAAATTTTTGCAACATCACCTTTGGAAGCAGCGCAACCGCCACGGGAAGCTCGATGCCAAAATATCCCCAGCCCCTTAAATGTCACGTGTCAGGGGATCACCATGTTTACTGAGCACAGCTTCCCAGCCTCCAAAGGTTTTTCATAACCCAACAGACTTCAACGTGACTGGGAGCAGAGAGCCCAAATTTGTTTCCATTCCAGCTGGGTACGATTCAAACCTTTTCCTCCCAGCTCCCCACGCTCCAGGCTGTTCTAAATGAACTTGACTTTGAACTGGATCCTGCACTTTGGACACGGAGCTGGCACGGGCGGAACCTGGAGTCAGTGTCGTAACCTCATTTGTGCTTCTGTTTGCTGTCAAAACACCTTGGACTGAGCTCGGGCACGGGGAGCAGGCTGATTTGGTGGCCCGAGGAGGCAGGCAGTGGGAGATCCAGATACCGCTTTGGTCTATCGCACGTGTAGGTTGTCCAGAGAGCAATTTCCAGGCTGTGCAGCACCCTGAGGCACTGTCCACTGCATAACGACAGGTTTCTCTTCAGTATTTTGCAGTACATAAACCAGAGAAAGAAGCACAGAGACCGCTGGGTTGGGGCTTTGACGTCTACCTCTGTCCCACGTGAGTAGGAATCCCTTTTCTTTGATTTACTGGTTGGGATGTTGGGAATCACCCCCCTCACCTGCAGGTACCAGAGCACGGTGCCGGCACTCAGCGCTGGAGCCTCTC